CCATGTCTCCATACCCGACAGTATGAAACTTGTGTCCTCATCCTTGTACTTGTCCAAAAATTAATTAAATATTAACTTTTGCAAAGAAAATATAAAAAATAAGAATTTCAACATAAAATAATAATTACAAAATAATAAATTAAATTCTATACCCACCCCATCGTGTTCCTGTACCCTATATCCATCCCTGTCTCCATACTCGACAGTATGAAACTTGTGTCCTCATCCTTGTACTTGTCCAAAAATTAATTAAATATTGAATTTTGCAAAAAAAATATAAAAAATAAGAATTTCAACATAAAATAATAATTACAAAATTACATTAATTAAACTTTATTTGATATAAAATAAAAACAGAGTAAGAAATTACATAATTTTTAAGTAAATTCTAAAAAAATAAATTAAATATTTATAAATTTTAAGCAGGTATGAGCACGGTTACGAGACAAATATGTATATACTTATCTTTGTCCCTATACTTGATTTAATGAATTGAGTATTACTCGTACCTGTACCCATGTTCGATTAAACTGGGTATTCCTTGTCAAAGTCGGGACGGGTTCAGACATTACTCATAGGTAAGGATTTACTTACCATCCCTACCTCTAATATGGAAAGTTTTTTTTTTTAAAGTTGTCTCCTCTAGGTTTTTAAGTTGAAAACAATATGGAGGACATGTCGATCCATACTTGGCATAAATGGCTAAAGAATAAGGCACAAAGTTAGGGGCCACAATCCTTAACTGAGTGTTAGAAGGGTGTGTGATACTTAGAGAATAGGTGGTAAGCTGATTCCATTTTGGGCTTCGTTGATCCACACCAATATCATGATAGACTCACACCTAAGTTATGTTATTCCTGATGGTAGTACTAGATCTTCTTAGTTTATATAAGTGGTGAGATCTAAGAAACCAAAGTTGTTGACTTGGCTTGAAATGCCAGATGTTGTTTTCTAACTTGGTACCAATAGGGGTTAGGCATTGTGCTTACTAGACCTAGAAATGAAGGTTCAAATGATGTAGATTCAATAGGGTTAAGCGACTTAAATTGCTCACTAAATTGTATGAGATCTCCAAAGTTGAAAATGTCTAATGACACATAAAGTTGATGAGTTGTAAAGTTATGCATTCAAGTTGTTTTAAGTTGTTGAGTAGTTACTTGAGTTGATTTTGAGCTATTAAAGTTGTTACTTCAAAGTTGATGAGTTGAAGGTTGCTTTGTTGTTAAGTTGATTGAATTGTTGAGTTGTTTATGTTACTATGATAATGTTAAGTTGTAAGTTGCGTTATAACTTGTGTTGTATTTAAGTTGGATGTTGTTTATTGTGTTGAAGTCGTTCAAAATTGATTTTGGTTTGCTTTTAAATTTTTTCTTATATGTTGTTTCCTTTTCACACAAGCTTACCCTTATGTTTTCATGTGATGAATTGCAACGATCATACTTAATATAAAAATAGATCAAGAATTAAATGGATGGCGAGCTTGGAGGCTTGGCAGCCATCTTTGAGGATGGCTATTGTTGATGATATTTTGTTACAACTTGTATACAACTTCATATCAAATAGTTTTAAAAAATTTGCATACTTGATCTATGGATTAAGAACCTTCAATTTAACAACTACAAAAAAAAGTCATTTTAGCCACCGAAATTAGCGACCGAATTATTTTCGTCGCTAATAGCGACTTAATTAGCGACCGAACTTGACTTGGTAGCAAATTTTATTTAGCAACCGAAATAGCGACCGAAATTTGTAGTGACTAAAAATCGGTCGCTAAATCGGTCGCTAACATAACAAATGTTGGTTAAATTAGCGACGGAACGGTTTCAGTCGCTAACAAAATTAAAATAATATTATTTATGATAATTTAAGCGACCAAATAGAAAATCGGTCGCTAAAAAATAAAATAATATTATTTTATAACAATTTTAGCGACCAACTAAAATCGGTGGCTAAAAAATGAAAAAAAATTATTATTTATAATAAGTTTAGCGACTGAAATAGAATCGGTCGCTAATTATATCAAAAATAATATTATTTATAATAATTTTAGCGACCAAACTAAAATCGGTCGCTAAAAAAATAAAAAAAAAAATTGGCTAAAAAAATAAAAAATAAAAATATTTAAAATAGAGTTAGCGACCAACTCACAATCGGTCGCTAAAAAAAATGAATTTATTATTTATAATAACTTTAGCGACCGAATTGCAATCGGTGGCTAAAAAATATTAATATTTTTGAAATAATTTTAGCGACCGAATTTATATCGGTCGCAAAAAAAGTAAAAATTATTATTTATAATAATGTTAGCGATGAAAATAGGATCGGTCGCTAAAAGAATAAAAAAATATTATTATTTTACAATAATTTTAGCGACCAAAGGTAAATCGGTCGCTAAGTGAATAAAAATATTATAATTTATAATAATTTTAGCGACCGAATTAAAATCGGTCGCTAGCAGTTACCAATACCCCCACCTTCGTGAGGCCCCTAATATTAAAAGAAAAAAAAAATTGTTTAATCAACCATTCCTCAACTTTTTAAGCTCGATCAGACACGCAAAAGGCATATTTTAAAGCCAAAGTGATATGAAATATCTTTAGTTAAGGGTAATTTTCAATTTTAGGTAAACCAAATATCATAATGATTGAATTCAGATCATCGAATTCACATCCAAAAATACCAATACAACCCCCAAAAGCACATACAATAGTATTGAAATACCAGCACTCAAGAAGACAGTCCACAAACACACAAGTCCTCTACTCAAAAGTGTCATCATCATCGTCAGGAAGGGGCTGACTAGCAGCTGCAGCAAGCTCAGCTTCATGCCTGCAAAAGCCACCAATGCATAAATATAGGAAATCTAAAATGAACATTTTCAATCATGAATGGGATGGATGGACGGTCAATTAACTCACTTTGTTTAATGTTAAGTTGGCATAGTAGAAAGTAAGAGTATGGGAAACAGTTCTCATTCTATATCTTTATTAAAAACAAGGTCTTCCCCCTCCTAACACCCCAAATCACTTTTTTTTCCTTACCATTTACCTCACCTCCGTATCATTATTGATTGTGACAATCCACTTTTAGAAAGGATTTTTTAATTCCAAACGCAACTTTGCAAATGTACAATCTACCTTTTTCTTATCATGCCAGTAATAAATCAAGCACAAGGTTGATGGAAGCGGAGGAGAAAATTTTGTTCATGAAAGATAGCTTACTGTTGTTGTGCAGCTAAATCAATTTGAACTTCAGGTGGAGCCAATGCAGGAGATTCTACGAAGTGCAAGTTAGGATCGCTGCAAAATTGACACAAGTGGCAAACAATTAGTTGTGCTTTTAAATGTTTTATGTGTTCTGACTTCTTATGTATAAATTATGAAGTAGAAACTCAGGCTCTACCCTGCAAGTTTCCTGGCCAAATACAGAAAAGGCTTTTCGAAGTTGTAGTTGCTCTTAGCAGATATCTCATAGTACTGCAAATTCTTCTTCCTGTGGAAAGTAACCTGCTTTGCCTTCACTTGCCTGTTCTTAACGTCAACCTTGTTTCCGCAGAGAACAATAGGGATATTTTCACAGACCCTGAAAAAATCAGTTGGGCAGATGTTACCCATGTTATAAACAACATATAGCCAAAAAATAAGAGACACAACCACCAAAAATGCTACAAGGATGTACGAACCGACAAAGATCACGGTGCCATGTAGGGACATTTTTGTACGTTAGACGAGCAGTAACATCAAACATGATAATTGCACATTGCCCATGGATACTGCAAACACAATATTACTAGCATTAGACAAAGAGCAGATTGGAGGCACAAGGAAAGTTGAAAATTGTTCGTATCACAGAAGAATAATAGACTCTACTCGGACAGAAATTTCCAGTGGAACAAGTAAAATATTTCATAACAGTTTTAAAATTCTAGAATATCTATATATCTAACACAGACATCCTAATAGAAATAAGACTAAAAAGGCAACTGCCATGCAAAACAACACCACCAACTCTGATACTGATAAAACCTATGGAATCAAACGGAATTAACCAATTATACATTTTAATACCCATGAAAAACAACTTGAGAGTGAAAACCCCTGTTAAGCTTGTGTCATAACAAACGCAATCTGTTAAGCAAAAAACTGAGACCAAATAACTTACTAATATCCATCTCTAAGGCCACCAAACTTCTCCTGTCCAGCAGTATCCCAGCAGTAGAATCGAATCTTTCCACAGTTTGTGAAAAAATCCAATGGATGAACTTCCACACCGATGGTTGCTGTTTAGGACAAGCAATATCGAGAAAAAGAATATATTCATAGGTGGAACAAGATGAGCATTTAGGCACACATCATATCCTTAATTAAAAATGAACCTTACGCTCATATTTCTTCTCGAATTCCCCAGTGAGATGCCTTTTCACAAAAGTCGTCTTTCCTGCGAATGTTCAACACGATAATAAAGCTCATATACCAAGGTATAACCTAGATCGTCAAGCAATTGACATAACCATTGCTGAAAAATTCAAAAAGAATAAAAGATTACCTGTGCCACCATCACCGACAATTACGAGTTTGAAACTGGGGTAATCCACGGTTTGCTGATTGGGCAAAGCCTGCAACGCAAAAGATAAAGAGTAAATCGAACGCCTGACTAGAATTGAAAAGAAAGTGTTGAAATTGAAAGGAGAGAGCGTACCATGGAATGGTGAGTATGATGCTGCGTTTGCTTGAAGAGCAGAGCAAGTGATCTAACACAAAGAGTATGAAAGAGCACACAAACAAGCGAGGGTTTATATTGGAAGGGTTTCAAGTTCGGTGTTTTGTATTGAATGCGTTAACCTAACGCTAACGCACCTCTCAACTCTCTCCACACTTCGATTACGCTCTTTCCAATTTGAATCTCAAACTAAGCCCGGCCCAATCATTAATCCATAAACCCTCAGTTGGATCAAGATGTTTCTCTTCCATTTTCTTTCTTTATCAACAATAAAGCCAAAGTGATATGAAATATCTTTAGTTAAGGGTAATTTTCAATTTTAGGTAAACCAAATATCATAATGATTGAATTCAGATCATCGAATTCACATCCAAAAATACCAATACAACCCCCAAAAGCACATACAATAGTATTGAAATACCAGCACTCAAGAAGACAGTCCACAAACACACAAGTCCTCTACTCAAAAGTGTCATCATCATCGTCAGGAAGGGGCTGACTAGCAGCTGCAGCAAGCTCAGCTTCATGCCTGCAAAAGCCACCAATGCATAAATATAGGAAATCTAAAATGAACATTTTCAATCATGAATGGGATGGATGGACGGTCAATTAACTCACTTTGTTTAATGTTAAGTTGGCATAGTAGAAAGTAAGAGTATGGGAAACAGTTCTCATTCTATATCTTTATTAAAAACAAGGTCTTCCCCCTCCTAACACCCCAAATCACTTTTTTTTCCTTACCATTTACCTCACCTCCGTATCATTATTGATTGTGACAATCCACTTTTAGAAAGGATTTTTTAATTCCAAACGCAACTTTGCAAATGTACAATCTACCTTTTTCTTATCATGCCAGTAATAAATCAAGCACAAGGTTGATGGAAGCGGAGGAGAAAATTTTGTTCATGAAAGATAGCTTACTGTTGTTGTGCAGCTAAATCAATTTGAACTTCAGGTGGAGCCAATGCAGGAGATTCTACGAAGTGCAAGTTAGGATCGCTGCAAAATTGACACAAGTGGCAAACAATTAGTTGTGCTTTTAAATGTTTTATGTGTTCTGACTTCTTATGTATAAATTATGAAGTAGAAACTCAGGCTCTACCCTGCAAGTTTCCTGGCCAAATACAGAAAAGGCTTTTCGAAGTTGTAGTTGCTCTTAGCAGATATCTCATAGTACTGCAAATTCTTCTTCCTGTGGAAAGTAACCTGCTTTGCCTTCACTTGCCTGTTCTTAACGTCAACCTTGTTTCCGCAGAGAACAATAGGGATATTTTCACAGACCCTGAAAAAATCAGTTGGGCTGAAATACCAGCACTCAAGAAGACAGTCCACAAACACACAAGTCCTCTACTCAAAAGTGTCATCATCATCGTCAGGAAGGGGCTGACTAGCAGCTGCAGCAAGCTCAGCTTCATGCCTGCAAAAACTTAAAAATAAAAATATACTTAGCGACCACTTTAGCGACCGAAAAAAATATTAGTTATTTTTTTTTTCAAAAATAAAATTATATTTAGCGACTGATTTAGCGATTGAAATTAAAATTATTTTTTAAAATAATAAAATTTAGCGATCGATTTAGCGACCAAACTTTAAATTATATAAAAAAGAAACAACACTTAGCGACCACTTTAGCGACCGAAATTAAAATTAAATTTTTATTAAAAAAATATTTTTAGCGACCACTTTAGCGACCGAAATTAAAATCAATTTTTTTAAAAAACATTTTTAGTGACCGATTTTAGCGTCTGAAATGAAAAATGATTTTTTAAAAAAAATGTTAGCCACCGACTTAGCGACGGAAAGGAAAATCATTTTAGAAAAAAAAATAAATTATACATTTAGCGAATGATTTAGTGACGTATAATTCAGTCACTAAATTGGTCCTCATATGGTATGGCGACCATAATCATAGTGACCACTTAGCGACCGAAAATTCAGTCGCTAACTAGCGACCAACCGTATTTCCGTCGCTAAAAAACTTTGCGACCAGGATTTTTGCAACCACATCAAATCGGTCGCTAAATTAAATAGCGACCGATTTAAGCATTTTAGCGACCGATTTTGTTGGTCGCTAAAATCCTTTTGTTTGTAGTTGTTAAAATTTGATATAGAACATAAGTTATTGAGTAGCGTAGGTCTAATAAGATTTACTATTGGAATAAGTGAATCTCTCTTCTCTCCCTTTCTCTCTCTCTCTCACTATATATATATATATATATATATAT